AATTTTACAACGTGATTTGGTATACATGCACTAAGTAACATGATAAGGCTTAAATTTAAGGATTAAGTTGAAACCATCTACTAAATACAATATAAATAGTTCAAAAGCCATACTGATAGTTTAAATATAGGCATAAAAGAGTACGAGAGGCTTACAATGTTATTTTTCAGACTGTTTTATTCGACGCTTTCCAAGGAATATGAATGTCTTACTATATCTTCTTCATCAACCAGATCAACCACGGGTCTTCCACCACTGGTTCAACCTGATCGGGTGGAGGATTAGAAGGTTCAACTGGCTATGAATGTTACCAAATAGCTATGAATGTAGAAAATAATTTTCTAAAAAACATGAAGAGCAAAGATCAAAATTTACCTAACAAAATAGCGAATCAAGACGATAAGTCCTGACTGGCGCAACCGTATATTCTGCAGACAGGACGTGGGAATTGGACGGCGATCCTCCGATCCAGTAGTCAGAGCATGGCGAAGGGTGGCAGGGCACCAGGGGCCGCAGCCGGCCGGGGCGTCACAGACTCACATGTCAGGCGGCGACGCACGTGTTTCTCCGTGGCTCCCCGTCTGATCGAGATTAGATTAGGAAATTCGAAGGGTCGTATACAGAGCGCACATACCGGACGTTTGGACGTTGGAGAATTGGAGTTCCCTTGCCACATGGGTCACGTCAGTGCATCATATGGGCCTCCCGTCATCACGTGATGGTGTCAGCGTATGTTTTTTTTCTTTTTAACAAATACAGCGTATATACAATATAATAATATATATACTACTGCTGGCCAGGTTCGCAGGGTATGCCGGTGCATACCCGGCATACCCTGTGGCTACGTCACTGCGACTAGGGAGGAGAGTACCAAAAACTCAACTCCTTCTTTGATAAGATAGGGATCACCCATCTAGTTTCATGCCCCCATGCACATCAGCAAAATGGAGCAGCAGAGCGCAAACATCGCCATATTGTAGAAGTAGGTTTGTCTTTTTTAACGGATGCATCTATGCCTTTGAAATTTTGGGATGAAGCCTTTCCCACAGCCTCCTATTTGATCAATCGTGTTCCGAGTCCCATTATAAAAATTTCTACTCCTTTAGAAGGTCTATTCCAGCATAAGCCAGATTATGATATGCTTCGGGTTTTTGGGTGTGCCTGTTGGATTTGCGTCCATATAACTCTCACAAACTTGAATTCCGTTCCAAACGCTGCGTCTTCTTAAGCTATAGCCATCTTCATAAGGGGTTCGAGTGTCTCGATGTAGCATCTAGACGTGTCTATATATCTCGAGATGTTGTGTTTGATGAAGAAGTTTTCCCTTTTCCAAACCCCATCACAATGTAGGAGCTCGCATTTGTTCGGAAATCAATCTCCTTCATCCAACTTTGCTAAATCCTGGGGGTACACATGCAGTTGACCAATTTACTAATACTAACCCTGCTGATTTAATTGATGAAGAAAATTCTGGAACAAATGGAGGAGAAAATACATGCAATGTTAACCCTGCTTACCAATTTACTAATATTAGCGCTGGAGGCGTATCTGCGCATGCGCACGGTACGGGCATCCAAGAATTGCCACCTCCATGCGCGTCCGCATCAATAGCCACTCCACGCGCGACACCTCAGGCAGAAGTCGAGGACCTGTTCCCGGCCTGGATCCACTGTGCCACCGTCAACTCCGCCTGGTGTGCCACCTCCTGGCTCTCATGCGCCAGGACTCTCTGCACCGGCCACAGAAGGAGCTCCTATTACTGTACAGACTCATGGACAGCATGTTCAGACACGTCCAAGAACCCGGTTGCAGAGTGGCATCCGAAAAGAAAAGGTATACACTGATGGCACTGTTAAGTATGGCTTTCTAACATCAACTGGTGAACCATGCAGTGTTGACAATGCGGTAGCAAATGCAAACTGGAAACAAGCCATGGAAATAGAATATAATGCCTTGACGAATAACAAAACCTGGCACCTTGTTCCACCATAGAAAGGGAGAAATGTTATAGGGTGCAAATCAAGCATAAGGAAAGATACAAAGCTCGCCTAGAGGCGAAAGGGTTCAAAACAGAGGTATGGAATTGACTATAAGGATACTTTCAGCCCATTATTAAAACTTCTACTATTCATATTATTTTGTCCTTTGCTGTTTCTCGAGGATGGAGCCTTTGGCAGCTTGATGTACAAAATGCATTTCTTCATGGCCATCTTGAAGAAGAAGTGTATATGCAACAGCCACCAGGTTTTGAAGACACACTTCCAAACTTGGTTATGTCTGCAAACTTGATAAAGCATTATATGGGCTAAAGCAAGCACCTAGAGCGTGGTACTCACGACTAAGTCGGAAGCTTAACACACTTGGTTTTCAGGCGTCAAAAGCTGATACTTCACTGTTCTTTTATAATAAAGGGGGAGTAACCATGTTTGTTCTTGTTTATGTTGATGACATCATAGTAGTTAGCTCCACAGGAAAAGCTACTGATGCTCTTCTTCAGGACCTTCAAAAGGAGTTCGTGTTGAAGGATCTTGGACAACTTCACTACTTCCTTGGCATTGAGGTGTCCAAGGTACCTGATGGGATTGTGCTATCACAAGATAAGTATGCCTCTGATCTTCTTAAAAAGGTAGGAATGTCAGAGTTCAAACCTATAGCTGCCCCCTTAAGCACAAGTGAAAAACTCTCTTTACATGAAGGATCTTTGCTGGGTCCAAATGATGCTACACATTATAGAAGTATCGTTGGTGCTTTACATTATCTAACGCTCACTAGACCTGACATAGCCTATTCAGTAAATAAGGTGTGTCAGTTTCTTCATGCCCCAACAATGTGCATTGGACAGCAATGAAAATAATTTTGTGATACCTGAAACAATGAACTAAGCTGGATCTAAAGATTCACAAGTCTTCTTCCACTCTGGTGAGTGCTTAGCACAGATGATAGGAGGTCTACAAGGGGCTTTGCAGTTTTCTGGGTTCTAATCTTGTATCCTGGAGTGCTCGCAAGCAACACACAGTGTCAAGGTCCAGCACTGAGTCTGAGTACAAAAGCTGTAGCCGATGCAACTGCTGAGGTGATGTGGATTCAAACTCTTCTTCAAGAATTGCACATTAACAGTCCAAGGGCAGCAAAGTTATGGTGTTTCATGCTAGGACTAAGCATATAGAAGTTGATTATCATTTTGTCAGAGAAAGAGTATCACTGAAATTGTTTCAGGTGATCAAGTAGTAGATGGCTTTACAAAGGCATTGTCAGTTTGACTCTTGGAGAACTTCAAATACAATCTCAACCTAGTGAAGTTGTGATTGAGGGGGAGTGTTAAAGGTTAAAGATGTACATGTGTTTGTGTGTCACGGTAATACCCTTGAGTGATAAGGCCACGACATGCATTACTCATAGGGTCAAGTCTTGAACGAGATTATAGGCATGCATAGCATGCATTACTTGTAGGGTCAAGTGTTGAACGAAGTTAGGATCAAATGTATTTGCCGTGACCATCTCAAGGTGGTTAACCTGTTATATGTAAACGTCACGGATGGGGCTCTTTCATCAACTCAATTAACACGCACTCACCAAGGACCCAACATCGGGCCCGGTGATTCCCTGTATGCGCCTCTTGAGTTTTTACATTTCAGATGCATGTTTGTGTTTTATCTGCCTTCAGACGTATGTTTCAAACACTATATCTGGATGTTTCAAAAGTAGATCTGGTGTTTCACATGTTGCAACGGGACCCACCTTCCACAGCGACCAGTTGCAGCTGCTCGGGCGCCACTGAGCAGGCGTAGACGGTGGAGGGGACGCGGCGGTCTAGCGGCGCGAGCAACGTCCGGGCGGCATGGGCCCCGCGTCGGCGCGCAAAACGTAGGCGCGGCGGGGGCGTGCTGGCGCGGGGGCGGAGTGCAGGCGCGTGGGAAACAAAGTGCAGCCACAGGCGTCCAGACGCGCGCCGGTCCGGACGTTCGGGCGATAGCATTGTCGTTTCTAATTTTGATGACCATCAACTTTAAAAAAACGTGTACATATTAACAAAATAAGATATATGTTTTTAGATTCATTATGAGACGCATACTTTCATAATATATAATATACATGTTGTGAAATTACATAGATTTCACAAAATTGATGATCAGTGATTAAACGCTAATACGACATATAGAAAAGGACAGATAGAGTATATTGTGATGGCCTGGTGGTTGTGTGATGGTTCGAATGTTTTTTTTTTGAAAAGACGGTTCAAATGTTGTACTTGCATGCTATATGAATACATGACTTTTTTCTGAATACAACTCTTAAAATATTGTCTCGAATCTATGATGTCTAGGCATCTTTGTCTACAATGTCTAGGCACTAGTCGGAAGATTGAAGACAGTCTTGCATCTACCATCAGCTAAATAAGCTAACACTTTCTTATTTTGGACCCTCTAATTAATAATAGTGAGATGCCTATAGTTCTTGGTTAAGCTAAGTCTCTTGGGGTGAGGTTATCACTTGCTTGTGGAAAATGTTTGCTGCAACTAACACAAGAAAAATCACTATGTGAAACCAGGTTCATATGTTGAAGCCTTCAAGGTACGTGTATGGCCAAGTGTCGATGCTGCTTCACATCGTTTCATATTATACAGTGGGCTAGGGTGAACCTTGGCAAAAAGTTCATTGGGATCGTCAGTTCTCCGTATATTAACGTACGTTTACAGTTGGAGTAAAACTGGTAGCGCTCCCGAGCCTCGAATGCCTTTGCTTTTAATTCATCTGGTTTGAGTATCCGCCCTCAATAATGAAGATAATGTACATAAGGATCGGGCATAGTTATTAATGTTAACTCTCCGTCATAATATTTTCTCTGGTCTGAGCAGGTTTGTGGTACATAGGAGCACCGTGCCGTGCTGCAGTAAAAACCAGTTCCAGTTCCAGGGGCATACATGCCTCTCGTTGGCTGGCGAAGGAGCGAGGGGTCATCATATATAAGAGTGGTGAAGAATCCTTCTGAATTTGTTGCTTCATATCCTCTGTAGACTCAATCGCACAAGAACAATGTTCCTGCACAAAACTAGGGGCAAAGTTAAGAGACTAGTACTACTACACGAGCATGTATGAGATTGAGATGCATTGGGAAACGCAAACTTGCATCTGATGGCGGATCATGTCGGGTGATTAGTACACCATTGGACTGAGGCCGCGTTTAGATGCCAAAAATTTTTGGCCTCAGCCAATAACCTGACACTAGCAGGTTTTGACTAAAAACCTGAGATCTAAAATTTTTTGGGTTTGCTGTTTAGTTGCCAAAAATTTTTGGCTGCCATTCTCAAAACCTGGCAGCTGTAACAATTGCATGCCAATGCATGCTGACACATGCAGCCAATGCATGCTGACACATGCATGCAGCCAATGCATGCTGAAGCTTGAAATGCATGCATGCTGTTGTCTCTCATGCAACAACATGCATGTTTGATCCAAATGACACAACAGATGTAATTAACAATTAATCATGCATGATTCATCCACAAAACTGTACTGACGCAACTGTACATATGCAGTACACATACATGACCTCAAACACACAAAACTGTCAATAACGGTTTAGCAAAGCATAAGCAATCGAATCACGAAATTCATTCATCAGATCAGACTCATCCTCAACTTCCTCGGGGTCAGGATGATTCTCAGACGCTTCTCGCGGCACATAGTTATCATCACGGTCACACCTTGCAAAGTGTCTATCCCCTATGCCACTTATCCTAATGAAATTATGTAGAGCACAACATGCAACTATGATTTGGCTTTGTTTATGGGGTGCATAAGAAGGGATCTGATGCAAGATGCGCCATCTCATTTTCAAAACTCCAAATGACCTTTCAATGACATTCCGAAGACATGAATGTGCATAATTGAAGGTCTCCTCTTTACCTTGGGGTTCTGGGGCATCTCGATACTCCTGCAGATGGTACTTAGTTCCCTTGTAAGGAGCAAGGTAACCTAGCCGGTTAGGGTACCCGGAGTCCACAAGGTAATATTTCCCTACATCAGCAAAAAAATATTTTACATTCATGTAGTTGAACAACAAGGACCCAAATGTGCTATCTGATAGGTGTGTACCTGCAAGTGGATGTGGAAAGACATGGCTGTATGTTGTTGTTGCATCATTGAATACTCTCATGTCATGTACAGACCCCGACCAACCAGCAAGAACAAATGTAAATCTCATGTCAAAGTCACAGACAACCATGACATTTTGTGTAGTCATGCCCTTGCGACACAAGTGCTGCACAAACTTATCATTGGGCACCACACAAGGTACATGAGTCCCATCTATACCCCCTATGCAGTCCTTGAAGTAGGGATAGAACCTAGGGTTTCTCAGTCTAGGATGTATTGTTCTAAATTGTGGGTCGACAGGCTTAATAATGTCAGCAGCAAGCTTCACCATACACTTCAAAACTTTGTTTAACATGTTGGAGACAGTCCCTAGTGACCTCTCAAATCTGTCCTCAGCTTGCCTAAAAGATTGTGGTGCCCCAAGCATCCAAAGAAACATCCCTAGAGCCTCAACCGAGGTGGACTTAGCACTAGATTTCAGGCCATATGAGTGTACTAAAAGATCATGCAGTGTATGGAACATAGGTGGGCTCATTCTAAACATGCTAAAATAGGCCTTGCTATCCCCAAGCTTCCTCTGTACCCATTCCAAACCAGTCATGGCAGGTTGCCTATACTCAGCCCTATTTAAATGCTTGTCAATGTGTAGGGCATACTGGTACATACCATAGATAAAAGCATCATCATCTTCAGCATCCTCTAACTCAGCCATCATCATCTCTTGGAAAACATCCCAAGGGTCTACACAATGGGTTGCTGCTCCTGATACAACATCAACCTGTCCAAACAAACAAGGACTAAAGTCAGTCATGAATCACATTACAATTCATGTCATGCATGACTACGTTCACTGACATTTGCCATTCCCTCTCACCCATGCATCACATAGTTGACATGGTCACCATACTTCAAGTTCACCAAACATTACTACATTTAAGTTGTTGAAATAAGAAACATCACAAACACAGTTGAAACACACATTCATGCAGTACAGACTTAGTTCATATGACATAGGACATGGCCGACATTGTTTGAGGACACCATTACGACATGAACTTCAATTCATAGATGAAATAAGATAAGATGGTCTATGAGTCCACCGGCGTAGCTTGCTCGATGATGATCATCCTTTCTTCAGGGCCGTTGGCAAGGAAGAAGTCCATATCACTTTCATTGTGGATGATCTTGTACAGGCCCCTGAACAATGTTGGAGTCTGTGCACTTATACCCATCTCCCTTGCTATCTGGGTGACCCTGTCTATCTTCTAGCTAAGGGCCGACCATGAATTGTGGTCCTCTTGCTTCCTGTGCTCAAACATGCTCTCCATCAGGCAGAGCCTACGGTTGGCAATTTCATTGTGTGTCCTCATGTTGTTGTCCATTGCCCTCAGTGCTGGGCTCTTGGACCTCTTGCGTGGGCTGGATGCAGTGGTGCTCGTGCTGCTGGCCCTCTTGTTGCCAATGCTCAGTGGGGTCAGCTGGTCTTCCATTTCATCTGCTGCCTCTTCATCAGAGCTTCCACCATCCAAATCAATAGTACCACTTTCACCGGCAACAAAAGATGTGGAGCCATCTACTGTGTTTCCAGTAAACATTTTGTCCATTTGATCTAAGTACTCAGGCAAACCTTTCCTGAACTTCATCAAATCAAACTGCCCCTGCAATATGAAATCCTTTGTTATACAATGTTTTACTTAGTAAGTGCTGAAACTCAGAAGAGATAGATAGATCATTTACGTTGGTATTTGCTTTCCACCATGCATCAGTGGCCTGAATAGTTCCATCGTCGCTACGGCCTAAGCCAGAGGCGTAGCGGAGCTTGTTATAGAATGCCCATTGAGCCTTGAGCTGCCTTAGCCTACCAGCAATCTGCTCCCTGTCATGGACCAAACCTGTTGCTGCTTGGTACCTCCTTATGAGGTCCCTCCACCCAGTCTTGCTCATGACTCCCTTGGTACAATTGCCAATGGCAATTTCATGGCACCATATGTCACAGAACTTCTTAGTGTTCGGGATAGTCCAGTTGGCCTTGTGTTTCATAGCCTAAACGATGCTTGTTTCAGTTCACGACATGTACAGAGATTAAACCATTTGGTAAACACTTAAGCTAGGTTAATCAATATCTACAACTGTTGTAGCTTAAATTTGTATCACAGAACACTCATAGCAAGAGCAACTAAATAATACATATAGCACCCTAGACACATGCATGTAACTCAGCAGATCTACTATGAAATAGAAGATCAAGGAGAAAGGGAGTGGAATTTGTACCGGGACTCGCGGGGCGTGAGTGTTGTCGTCCTGATTGAAGTTGTCATCAAGAATGGCTGGCCCCGGCCCGCGTACACGCGCACTACGGCCCCTACGACGGCCACCCGCGCCTCCCCATGGAGGAGACAGAGGAGGGACGAAGCCGCCTCCAACGGATGTTCCACCCATGCCGCCTCCAACGGATGTTCCTCCGCCGGCGATGGCAGTGTTGCGGGAAGTCACGCGGATGGGGGTGGGAGCCATGGGGGGGACCTCGTTGTCCCCCCGAATGTAGCCCGCGTAGGCCTGCATCTGCGGCCAGTCCTCGCCGCCGTTGAGATCCAGCGACTCCAACCCCAGCCGGGACTGGTTGAATCTGCTTGAACCTGAGAAGGTTTGCGCCGCGTCGGGGAAGAGGCCGCTACCGCCGGCATGGCCCCAGGGATTACAGGGCGCCAGGAAATCCCTGGTGCGCGCGTCGTTGCCGTGGCCGGCGCCGTCGATGCCATGGTCGCCGTTGTAGCCGGTGCCGTTCATGTCGTCGCCGTCGTGTCCTTCCATCACCGAACGCGCGAAGGTGGTCCTCGATCCGGACTCCGACGGGGTGGATCTAGTGGTGTAGCTCGTGGATCTGCGCGGCGGCGTTGGAATGGCGGGAGATCAGCGGCGGTGGGAGGGAGTGACCGGCGGCGTGGGGCTAGGGTTCGAGAGTGGATGAGAGTGAGGGATAGAGGGGCAGTGTCGGGCGAGCGTGATGAATGGATAAGGGGTGGGTGCGGGGTACCAGGCGTCCTTCACGCCTCCCAAACCGCACAGTGCCAGGCCGAACACCCCACTATGAACAGTACTAGGCCAAAATATTTTGGGTGCCGTTTAGTCCAAAAAGGCCAAAGCCAGCCAAATTTTTTTGCAATCTAATCGGGGCCTGACTGCAGTCCGCGTTCTCGGGTTGAGGTCACCGTACTGAACAGAGATTGAGTTGTTGGATTCTGCAACTTGTTACCTGGGTGACTCATGTGTCTTTATGTTCAGGTCATAAAGTTCACTGATTTTGGTGTTCAAGGAGCAGAATCCAACAACTTTGATGTGACTGGTGTATCCTGAACCCCGGTGCAGTAAGCATCATTAACCTGAAAGCTTATCAGACATGTTCCGTTAATCTGAAACAATTGTTGACCCTGGCATGATATTGTTCTAAATATTTTTCTAACGAATTTACACAGTAGTAGTAATGACAGCAGTAAGCTTTATCATACTTATCACCAGACAGCAGCAGCAGCACTTGCGATGTTGTCGCTTCTGCGGTGTTTGTTTGTTGATGTCCATCCAGATGCATGCATGTGACACTGCTCTCTACTACGGATAATTAACCATGCATGCTATGGGATACATCTAATTAATTCAGTTATGGCTATAATTAATTCATCTTGCCCATATTTATAACTAATTCAGTTATGACTAGCTGTTAATAATGATCTACAAATGTACTCAGCTGCCATAAACTTCTTATCCATATTTATCAGCTAGTCTATGTATCAGTTTATATGATATAAAACTTGGATCTGACTCACTGTTTCTCTGTGTCTTTAGGTGAAAACATGTCATCCATACACTAGAGGGTTCTGGGACTCATGAGAGTGAGGAGGGTCATACATCTTTGACGCCACGTCGTACGTGGTCCAATGTTTGGGAGCACTTCGAGAAAGAGTTGGTTGATGTGGATGGTGTGCTAAAAGCTGTTTGCAAGTATTGTCAACTGAAATTGGTTACCAAGTCTGGCACTAGTAGTCTTAGAGGCCATGTTGCCAATGCTTGTCCAGCAATTGACAGTGCCATCAGAAAGAGATTTCAAGCAAGCATGAGCAAGCATCCAGTCGATCTGATCCAGAGGAGGAATTGGTGAGGTCAGATGTGGCGCTGGAGGTCGATGCCTCCGTCATCCTGGAGATGGAGGAGATGGGGGCGACATGGAGGAGTGCCAGTGCCACCGGCTGGGTCATGGAGGGTGTGGGGAAGGGAGGAGAGGCGCGGCCCGGGAGGCGGGCGGCACGGTAGTGAGAGGGATGGCATGACCGAGGCTCCGCGGCACGCTATGGTTAGGGTGGGGTTGAACATGACCTAGGCCCGAGTCTTTGACACCATGTAGAAAGGTATTGGGGAATCACCACACATACATTGTGGGAGGTGCCTTTCATATATATAGCCATGTACAAGTGAAGTGTAACTTGTGGTACAAGAAGATAGGCTATACAATTATGCTAATAATTTCATTAGAAATCATTTAGGAGCCGTAATATTTAATGCAAGATTTGTAAATGTTAATACAAAAGGGCATAATCATTGTACAATATAGCAAGCCATAATAATGCAACTTGGCCATAATAATGCTGGAATTTCCGTGTCATTTAATTTCTAGACCGCCCAATATGACCTTTTATTATGGCATATAGGTGTAATTAAAATGCAAATATAGTGGTTACTTTATGTTATTATATTAATTTAGACATCATAAGAGTGTACCAAAACAGATGGTCAAATGTTTTCGTTTGTTGTGACAATTCTTCAAATTTACATCTTCTCTTAGCGTGTCTCATCTCATGAGGACTAACGACAAGAGACTTCTTGTTGGATCCTCTAATCAGTAGTAGTGGGATTCCTGTTCTATCTATTCTACGAAAGAGCCAAGGAATTGGAAAAGAACTGTCACCTTAACCTAATCTACCCACTCTAATCTCCTCCCTCGGGAGTAGTTTATACTTTTCATCTAACGTATATGGTTAATTGGCATGTGGACCCAGCTGCGAAGGACCTTACATGTGGGGTGAAACACGCGTGTTTCCTCCGGTGCGCGCCTTCTTGTTAAACAACTCTTGTTGCGAGGTTATTGTCTTGCTTGCTTGAACTAAATGTTTGCTTCAACTATCACAAGAAAATTCATTATGGGCCTGTTTGGATCATATGAATTCAAAACAATATCTAAAAAGTGTTTCTCATTTTATTATTGGATTATTTTCTGATTTCTCTCCATTCCTGGGAACTAAACCGAGCCTAGGTGAAATCAGGTTCGTAAGTGAAAGCTAGCCTTCAAGGTATATGGCGAAATTTTGATGCTGCTTCACATCGATTCGTATTATATATACAGTGAGCTAGAGTGAGCCCTGGCCAAAAGTTTATTGGGGTCAGTTCTCCATATATTCACGCACGTAGAGTACAGTAGGAGTAAAACCGGTAGCGAGCCTCAAAGCAGATGCCTTTGCTTTTTAATTCATTGGTTTTCAGTATCCACCCTCAATGAAGGTAATGTCCGTGTACTCTATTTGATACGGATCGGGCATAGTATTATCAGCATCACTACAGGAAACTGACTCTTTGCCGACTGCAATTTTCTTTGCCAACTGTTTTTTTTCGACACTCGGCAAAGAGGTCCCTTTGCCAACTGGAATTTCCTGCAGTCGGCAAAGCAGGATTTGCCGACTGCCTGGCTTTGCCGACTGCCAGGCAGTTGGCAAAGAATTGCAGTCGGCAAAGGCAGGCCATGGTTGACGCCATCCACACCGTCACCTTTTTGCCGATTGCCACTCCGTCAGTGATCGGCAAAAAGCTTTGAGCTTTGCCAATCGCCATCCTCCCGGCGGTCGGCAAAGAAATTTTTATTTTTTATTTTCGATCCATTTTTTTGTGTTGCCTTGATCTGATGTAAGTACATGATATATTCAAGTTTGGGATCATTTTGATTTATTTTGCTATAAAAGTAGATTTTTTACATTTCTTTGATTTTTAAAAACGCTCGATTTGAGATGTGCGGTACATGAAATAATGGAATCCGTGATTGAAAATGTATTCATGATGTTTGGAGCATGTTGAGGCCGTGTCTTGGGCCTCGCGTGAAATTCGGCCCGTGTTGTTGGTGTCGCTTTTGATTTTATAAAAGCAGCGTTAAAAAAATTTTTTTAAATTTTATAAAATCGAAGCGGAGTTCGAAAAATGTGAAACCGAATTTCACGCGTGTCTTGTCAGACACGGCCTCAACATGGTAAAACATCATGAATAGTTTTTCAAGAGCATTCCATTACACGGACATGTCACATGTACCGATAGCAAAACTGAGTCGCCATGTGAAAAATCAAAGAAATGTAAAAAATCAATGGAATATAGCAAAATAAATCAAAATGACCCCAAACTTGAATATATCATGTACTCATCAAAGCAAACAAAAAAAAATCAAAATCTAAAAAAAAAAATTAATTCTTTGCCGATTGCCATCGATGGTGATTAGCAAAGAGCCTTTTGCCGATCGCCGGGGAGGATGGCAATCGGCAAAAGAATTTCTAAGAAAAAAATCAAAATACCTTTGCCGATTGCCGGGGAGGCGGAGCGGTCAGCAAAGTATTTTTAAAAAATTAAAAAAATAATTTTTGAAAAAAAAATAATAGACCTTCTTTCAATTGCGTCACATGTACATGGTGATCGGCAAGAAGGGAAAAAAAAAAAAAAAAAACGTCGCCTTATCCGCTCGGCCCGCCCTCCCTCCCAAAATCCCGCCCGCCGCCACCCAGCAGCCGCCCCCGCCGTCGCCGTCGTCGCCGGGTCACGTGGCGCATCCCCCCAGCGCCTCCCCCCCCCGCCCCTCCTCCCTCTCTCTCAGCCGCCGTGGATCCCTCCTCCTCCTCCCCCCGGCTTGCCTCTCCTCCCGGTGTGTGGCGCCCCTCCATGTGTGTGCCTCCCCCCCAGCCTGCCCCCCATGTGGTCCCTCCCGTGGTGGCGCCCTCCCATGGCGTGGGCCCTCCCGTCCGGCCCCTTCTTCTGGTCCGCCCATGTGTCCCCTCCCATGGTGTGTGGCCCTCCCTCATGTGTGCCTCCCGGTGGGCCCCATGCTGGTCCCTCCCGGTGTGGCGCCCTCCCATGTGCCCCCTCCCGGTGGGCCCCCTGTTGGTCCCTCCCGTGGCCCCATGTTGGTCCTCATGTTGGTCCCTCCCGTGGTGTCCGTCCCCCCAGCCCCCCAGCCCCTCCAGGCCCCTCCGTGCCGCCCCCCGCCCTTGAGCCCCTCACCGTATTTGCCCGGCTGATCCGGCCCGGCCGGCAGCTTGGCGTGCTTGACTCGGCGTCGGCCCAGCAGTGGCAGCGCTGCCTCGCCCGACTCCGCTTCCGGCGCGCCGTCGCTGCCCTGATCCCGATCCGCTCCGTCCCGCTCCGTCCGCCGTCCGCCGTCATGCGCGTCCATGCGCCGTTCGTCGTCGCCAAGCCTGCGTTCTTTGTCCTCGCCGCAGCCGTCCTCGCCTCGCCGTCCTCGCCTCGCCTCGCCGCTGTCCTCACCTCGCGCCGCGCCCCGCCTCTCGCCGTCCTCGCGCGCCTCCCGCTGCTCCTCCGCAGCGCCCGATGACGCCGTCCGTGACGACGAGGTAGTAGTACTACTAGTAGTAGTTGTTTACTTTGTTAATACCGCTTATATTCTTCTTGCATGGATTGGAAATACATTTGTGGTTGTCGGCCATCGTGCGTGACATGTATATGTGTTTGTCGGCCATCGTCGTCGTCGTCTTTTCTTGCGAGGTTTGGTAACC